AAAGTGGGAGCTGGAGTTCTGATAAAGATATTTCATTAATCGAACCTTCAAAATTATATACTGGAAAGATATTTCCTTTATAGGCTGTCATTAATAGATCAATAAAACTATTTGCATAATATAATGGTTTTAGTATTAGAAAGTATCATTTAGAAAAGTTAAATGGAAAGTGTATTAGATATACATATTTGTGCTAACATTCTTCAGTATATAAGCCTATAAAAGACAAAAATCTAGAAAAATAAAGGAATAAAAGTTCTGCTTGTGTTGATTGTCCTTAGAAAATTCATATTCGATATCAAAAAAATAATCATGGTTTAAAAGTTTCTTCATTTGAAAATAAACATGAAAATCACACCTTAGATCCAGTAAATTGTCAATTTGCACCTCAATTTCAACGTTTAACTCAAGAAATTCTTAAAGATATTAAGTTTTATACTCAAGAAGGTTATTTAGGAGCAACTGATTAATATCGTTTATTAAAATTATCATATCCTTATCATACTTTACACAAAAAGGATCTTTATAATGCAATACAACAATATTGTAATGAGAATGATTCAAACCTTAATGATGCAGCACGATTACTTGAATATCTATTAGATCAGAAGCATAATAATAATAATTTATATGTTGAATATAGGTTTGACCAAAGAACAAATACATTAACAAATCTATTTTGGATAATACCACATTAAATTGCTCTTTGGAATTATTATCATGATATAATTATTCATGATAATTACTGCCAAAACAAATTGTTATAACAAACCATTATCACTATTTATTTGTATTGATAATAATCATAATTCAAGTCTAGTCGCTCAGGTTATACTCAATGATGAAATTAGAGAATCTTATTCTTGGGGATTAGAATGTGTATTAAAAGCTACAAACTATATTGAACCTGATGTTTTTATGACTAATGCAGATCCAGCTATGCTTTCTGTAATTCCTAAAATATTTTTTGATACAGGCTCACTGCATTGTATTTGGTATTTGGAACAAAACTTGACAAAGAACCTGAAAGGCAAATTAGATGACAAATTTGATAGTTTTATGAAAGATTTTTATCGATGTTACAATTTACTTTCAATTTCAATCTTTGAATATCATTGGGCGAAATTGATTAAATACTATCCTAATGCAAGTGATTATCTTATAAGAAACTTAGATCCTTATAAGTCTGTGTGGGCCAAAGCATTTATACTTAATATATTTAATAGTAGAATACAGTCTTTACAAAGAGCTGAGGCAACTAATTCTGTTATTAAAAGACAATTGAATTATCAAAATATTAGTATTTATGATATATTTATGGAGCTTGAAGAAAGACTTGCAACTGAAGTTATTAATAGTACATTTATAGATTGGAAAATAGCACAGAAAGTAGTCAAAATATTGATAGAGTTTTTAAACCTATTGATGATATTATTAAAGCTTTTTTAACATCAGCAAGTTTAAAAAAACAATGAAATCAATTGAATCTTAGTATGCAATATCATGCTATAAAAGTTTATATGAGAATCAATATAATAATCAGGTAAATTAATTTTTTTTAGAGTTTGAAATGAATGAGCTAGATAGTAAAGCTACCAATATTAGTTATTGTTTATTAAATTGATTTTAATTTATTTAATTAAAAATTTTTTTATTTTTAGATTCAAAAAATCAATAATAAATGTATTGATGATATATTTGATTATTCTCAAGCTCTAATATTATATATTTATCAACAATTTTATAAGTTAATTACTATAGTTTGGAATATAGTTAACATTAATGAACCTACTTTTCCACAATTTGTGTTTCTTCTTTCTGATAGAACATTTATCTGCACTTGTATGATGACAATTTCCTATGGAATATTATGTCGATATTATTTACGAGTTATGGTAATGTGTTTATCAGCTACATTTCAGATAAATATAATATATTCTTAATGGTTTAAAGATTCAATTAGCAATAATACAATTGAACAATCAGCAGTGATTTCAATTTCTCAATTTAATATTAGTATTTATGAAGTTGATATACAACTTAATTATGATACTCAAACTAATATGATTTCATTACTATGTATGGGTATTAAAGATTTGAATCAAGATTCAATTAGTTGTCAGAATATTCAAAAAAAGCACTATACAAATCAAGCAAAGATTAAACAACAAGCATTATATGGTAAAATTTGGGGTGTTGCCCATAAAGCCACAAAAATTACTAAAGATGATAGTCTTTTAAAAATACTTAATAATTATTTTTTTTTTTTTTTTTTAATATTAAGGTGACCACTTAGGTCCCCGGCACTTAGCTTTATTCAGATAAATACGATATA